ATTTTATTTGTCAATTGTTTACAAGATAATAAGTATAAGTGTATACATAGTTATGAATACATGAAATGGGTACATATAAGAAAAATAAAAGAAAAATAAAAGAAACAATAGGACAGGGATGGTAGGCACGTTGGTGCGCTTATGCACGCCCCCTAGAGACCTCTTAGGAAAGGGGTGAGGTCAATAGTAGACAGTCTAAGGTTAAAGTTTTTGGGGTTTGGGGAAGAAACTACAGAGTCGGGTAGAGTATTCCAGACATTGATCATATATCATTGATCTATATGCCCAAAGAAGCACCCCAGTTCATAATCACTGCTGTTCATGAAAATTCCTTATATATATAGACTGCAGGCATTGAAAGAGGTCTGTTGTAGTCACTAATTCTCTAACCATTCAGTAAAGTTGTACAGAGTATTATTTAGAGGATGCTAGAGGATCTTAAATCTGTTTAAGAAACAGTACATCTTGCCTTTTTTGGTTATGCATATAAATTTAGGTACATAGAAAATAACTAATGTTGTAATATTTAATTCAGTTCAATTTCATTTTGTGTAAGTGAGCTCTTCTAATCAAATTTACCCATTGGCTGAAGATTTTGCATAAACATTTGATTATAAATGCTCCTGTCCCTCTCTCTACTTTGGAGAATTGCTAAGATAAATAGATTTAAAACAATATTATTGGATTATACTGATATTAGTTGCAATGAATGATAAAATGACAAAATTATATTTGTAAACTTGCAGCAAACTGGAATATTGCTTCTATGATAATAGAGGTAACAGTTTAAATAGCTAAATATTCAGTACATTAATGTAGATGAACCAACATTAAAAATTTTTTAATTTTGAAGCTTTATCTATGAACCTATGCAAATATTATAATTTGATGCAAACTGTTCATTATCTTAATGCCTGTTTGTTATTCAGAGGCTGCAATTATATATCCTAGGAAGCTTTGCTCAATGGCACTTAATGGAGAATTATGCAAGATTGCACTGTTGACCTAAAGAGTTACACTTATTAAATCACAATGATGATGCTTAAAATTTAAGTAATGTGAAATGCATGTTTATATTTCTATAAGTGTTTCAATTAGGAAGAAAAGTTAAAGTTTCTAAATAATGCTTATTTTCTGATCCATGTAGTTCTGCTGACTATCATACTTAGGGTATTTCTTCTCCCAGCTTGACTCTAGCAGATCTCTCCAAATTGACATCAAATAGTACTGGAAATAATTATTCAAATCCATTAGCACCACCTAGTGTTTGATCTATAATATTATGCATGTGGTTTGGTAAGATTTAACCAATCCTCTTACCAATTACTTAGCAAGCAAGATCACACTGATTTCTTTTACTAGTTATTCATGATATCATCATAGCAAGCATACTGCTACAAATGTATATGTTGAATATATATAATATGCTCCATTGAAGTGATACTATGATTCCTCTTAAAATATTTTTTTATTTCATAAAAGTTATGCTGAGTTAGAACAAAGTCCCCAAATGAATATCCTTGCTACTAAGCACAAATGTTAGGCAAATGTTTGGCAAATGTTAGGCAAATCTTTAACTTGGTCTAAAGAAGCAGTGGCTAAGGTGCTGGTCTAGAAACCAGGAGTGTGTGTTCTAATCCCACCATAAGCATGAAAGCCAGTTAGGTGATTTTGGATCAGTCACTCCCATTGTTGTGGGGAAAATAGGAGGAGGAAGGAATATTAGGTACATTCTCCAGTAATAATGGTGGGATAAAAGTGACAAAATCACCATCATCAATTGCAAAAATCAGCTTTACGTTGCAGCTTACATCCTGCAATGATAGCTTTAACACCATAAAACATCAACATTTTCCAGATCCTTGGGAAGGATTCAATGAGTGGATGAGAATTCTCAATCCAATCTAAACATCTGTCTGGTTGTGAGACGAATCAAAATAAAAAGTACATTTCTGCTGTATATCTTGATACAATCAATAGTAGTATTCCAGACAATTGGCAAGTTAGGCATTTTGCATATTGTACAAGTTTTGAATATTACTTGTAAATATTTGTGGTGGCAGTCGAAGTGTATCCTTTGCTTTTATGCAAGAATGCAGTGGTTTATGCAAGAGTCAAGGTAGCACAGTCGTTAGAATGCAATATTGCAGGCTAACTTTACTGACTGCCAGCAGTTTGATTATGACCGAATGTTGACTCAGCATTTCCATTCTTTTGGGGTCACTAAAATGAGGATTCAGATTGTTGGGGACAATATGCTAATGCTGTAAATTGTTTAGAGAAGGCTATAAATACTAGGAAGTGGTATATAGGTCTAAGTGCTCTTGCTAATACTACCAAAAAGAAAATGAAGTATTCTTGAGTGTAATCAAAAATACTATCTAAAATTTCTACAGCTTTAATGATTTTTTTCATGTTTGTTGTTTATTTAATAAATGCTATTTACAGTGCTGAACAGACTTTGTAATAGATCACAGTTTTTTGAATTCAGATTTAAAATTAAAAGTGTTATTCCTCGAATATGATTTAATATAATGTATGCACAAAAGTGACACATAACAATTTTATGAAAGGAGAAAGGGCAGATCCAATTCTTCATGATTTGACGGTATCTGCAAAATGCATGGATGACCACAAGGTGGTAGCAAACTGCTATATGTTGCTTTTTATTTTTTTTAAAGGAGACATACTTTAATTTAATGGCCTTTAAAGCATGTTTAATAGCTTACATACCAAAGTCTTTATCTGGAATTTTGTTGGAATTCTTCCTCCTATGAACATGCTTTAACTGCAGACAGATCAAGTCACTTTCAAAAAGGGAAATCTGAAGCACTGTAAACGGCTTAGTTTACAGCCGATACTTAGAAAGGTTCCAGAACCAATCATAAACAGATCAGTTCATAACTGCCTGCAAAATGATATATTATATACTACATCTCAGCATGGATTTGTTATGAACAAGTTTGTTAGGCAAACCTTATTTTGCTTTTTGATTGGCAATTTCTTTAGTTTATTGAGGAAATGTCAATATTTTAGATCCTGATCTCTGCAAAACATTTGAAAAATATCCCTCAACACTGATTAAACGTGAACTGGATTACATAATTGTGGTTACAGCTAACCCCCAAATTCTATTCATTAGTAATTTTCATCAAACTGGAACAAAGAATCATACTGTTGCAGGAAATTAAGAGACTCAGACCTTGGAATCCAAAAATAAGTTGTTTTTATTTGCACAAACAAGTTCAGAATATTTTAGACAGAGCTACTTCTGAACAAACTTCTTATAGAACAGCACATGTCTATATACTTCTTCAGAAGGGGCAAAACACAGAAATGTAACTTGTCAGTCATTCATTGGTTACTTGAAACACAGCTTTCCCCCTCCCCTGTTGCTAGGCTAGGATGGCTGGATGTCACAAACCCATCTTGCTAAACTCCCTAGCTTGTGGTTTTGTTACAAGCAAGACAAGGTTTCTTGGCAAATATTGTGACCGATAGATGATCCTTGTGGTCTGGCTTTTCACATTTCCTTGTTCTTTCTCTTGCTTATTCCACATATTTCACTATCTATATTTCTCTAAAATTAATATATTTTAATGTCCTGCCTTAATACAATCTAGTTTGCCTCAAAATTTGGGTTTCCATGACATGAAATTTAACAGGGAGAAATGTAATTTTCTTAAACTTAGGAAACAATTCAAATTCAGCAATTCAGAATAACAATTCAAATAAGATATAGTAATTGGCAAGAGAAGGTCAAAGAGGGGAGGGAACAATTAAGTCACCCTTTTGCCAATGCTGCATAAGCTCCACTCCTTTTATATACACGACATCATACATAAGCATGAAAAGGGCAAAGCTTACACTGAAGCAATAGGACACAGCCTTTCTCTTTAGGAAGTGCTGAATCCCACAGATCTCACTGCAAATAGTGATTAATTGCAAACTAATATGAGTCAGCAGTGAAATTTGGCTCCTAAAGAGGCAATTGCAGCTTTAAGCCCTATCAACAAAAGTTTTGTCTCCATTTTTAGAGGAAGTCATTTCAGAATAAAGGACAGATAGTAATGGATTTACATTACAGGGAGACTAATTCTATTTGAATATAAGAAACAAGAAACTTTCTAGCAACAGTTTGACAGCAGAAGTGGTGGGCTTCCTTCCTTCCACATTCAGAGGGTAGAGAACTGCCTAAAGGGGAATATATACAAATAAATTTTGTGTCTGCTCTCTGAATTGCAACGTTGGGGTTTATATTGTTTTTTGTTTTTAATATTTATTTTTGTTGGGCTCCACTCAAAGCTGATTGCTTTGGTGCTGTACACAAATATAGTAAGTAAATAAATATGATTTATTCACAGAATAGCAGGTCGAAGTCCCTTTCCAACTATAATTGCAGTCCATAAAATTTGTGAGCTTTTAAATTCTCCAGAATTCTTAAATCCAGAGCAAGAAATGGAGGAAACAAATCGGATCCGTCTTTAGGTTTGCAATTGAAAATCCATCTGAGAGGCGGTTCGGAGACTGAGCGAAACACAAAAGAGCAATTTGAGAAATGCAAGAGTCCCCTGCTCCGCCCAACATTTAATTGCCGAACTCTAAAGACGGTTTCACTCTTAATTACCGTCAATTTTGACGAGAGCCTCATTAGCCTTAGGTGGCGCTTTCCTAGGATTACGTCCCTACGCCAAGAAGCAACGGGACAGCGGAGGCTTTCGAAACGAGCGGCTCTGAACACAGCACGGAAAGCGAGCGTCCCACGAATAAAGGTCATGACCATTTCTTAATGATAATTAAGGCACAGGTAGCTTTCATGCCATGCTGCGAAGGGAGGGAGGGAGAGAGATAGTGAAGACAGAGAGACGTGTCGAACCGCGGGCTGGAGAGAATTATCTGTTGCCAGGCCCCGTTTCTAGGCAACCACAGCGGCGGTACCAAGAACCGTACGCTCTACTTGCAGGGAAGAGCCTCTATGGTTGCTAAAAGTGGCCGTTCTGCCTTCCTCTCCGTGGTTGATGGGACGTTTGGCTGACAACCCCGGGGCTTAGGAGGGGGCGATGGAACGGAAGGAGCGCTTGGTCCAGCAACGCGTAAACGTAAGTACCGAGCAGGCAAAGGAGGAGGAGGAGGAAGAAAAAGAGGAGGAGGAGGAGGAATTCTTGGTTTCGGATGCTTAACACTTAACTCGGTTTCCTGTCGGACCCGTGTGGACTTATCAGGAAATATAGTGTTGTAATGGGATGTTAGGAATGTTGCTTGGGTATCCCCAGAATAGAATAGAGTAGAATACTTTATTTGGCCAAATGTGATTAGACACACAAGGAATTGGTCTCCGGTGTTGAAGCTCTCAGTGTACATGCAAAGCAATAGAATCCTCACCATCATCATAGCAATAAGAGGGTAGTAAATAAGGATAAATGGCCATGCTAAAGCCATACTACACGGATAAATATATAGACAGATAAATATAAAGTGAATTGACTACAGCTGCAGCTTTTGATCCGTTTTTCCCCGGAGTAAGCCTTATTCAATTAAAAGGGACTTCGGAATAGTCATGCATGAGGTCCTATGGCAAGGCTACTACCCCTCATGCTTCTCTTTGTGGGAAGGCTACTGAACAGATTTACTTGAATGAATGCACTGAAATCAGTTTCATTCACGTTGATCTAGAAGCGAATTCGCTGAGAGAGATGGGATTTGGTTCTGAGCGCAGATCTAGAATACAGGTGAAACTCAAAAAATTAGAATATCGTGCAAAAGTTCATTTATTTCAGTAATGCAACTTAAAAGGTGAAACTAATGTATGAGATAGACTCATTACATGCAAAGCAAGATAGTTCAAGCCATGATGTGTCATAATTGAGATGATTATGGCTTACAGCTCATGAAAACCCCAAATCCACAATCTCAGAAAATTAGAATACCGTGAAAAGGTTCAATATTCTAGGCTCAAAATGTCCCACTCTAATCAGCTAATTCAGCCATAACACCTGCAAAGGGTTCCTGAGCCTTAAAATGGTCTCTCAGTCTGGTTCAGTCGGAATCACAATCATGGGAAAGACTGCTGACCTGACAGTTGTGCAGAAAACCATCATTGACACCCTCCATAAGGAGGGAAAGCCTCAAAAGGTAATTGCAAAAGTTGGATGTTCCCAAAGTGCTGTATCAAAGCACATTAATAGAAAGTTATGTGGAAGGGAAAAGTGTGGAAGTAAAAGGTGCACAAGCAGCAGGGATGACCGCAGCTTGGAGAAGATTGTCAGGAAAAGGCCATTCAAAAGCGTTGGGGACTTTCAGAAGGAGTGGACTGAGGCTGGAGTCAGTGTATCAAGAGCCACCACACACAGACGGATCCTGGACATGGGCTTCAAATGTTGTATTCCTCTTGTCAAGCCTCTCCTGAACAACAAACAACGTCAGAAGCGTCTTACCTGGGCTAAAGAAAAACAGAACTGGTCTGTTGCTCAGTGGTCCAAAATCCTCTTTTCTGATGAGAGCAACTTTTTGCGTCTCATTTGGAAACTAAGGACCTAGAGTCTGGAGGAAGAATGGAGAAGCATACACTGGCAGATGCTTGAAGTCCAGTGTGAAGTTTCCATAATCTGTGTTGATTTGGGGAGCCATGTGATCTGCTGGTGTTGGTCCACTGTGCTTCATTAAGTCCAGGGTCAGTGTAGCCGTGTACCAGGAGATTTTGGAGCACTTCATGCTTCCTTCTGCAGATGAGCTTTATGGGGATGCTGACTTCATTTTCCAGCAGGAAAATGCTGCCAAAAGCACCAAAACCTGGTTCAATGACTCTGGGATTACTGTGCTTAATTGGCCAGCAAACTCGCCTGACCTGAACTCCATAGATTATTTTCTCGCATTGCCAAGAGAGACATGAGACCGAACAATGCAGAAGAGCTGAAGGCCGCTATTGAAGCATCCTGGTCTTCCATAACACCTCAGCAGTGCCACAGGCTTATAGCTTCCATGCCACGCCGCATTGAGGCAGTAATTTTTGCAAAAGAGGCCCAAACCAAGTACTGAGTACATATGCATGCTTATATTTTTCAGAGGTCCGATATTGTTCTATGTACAATCCTTGTTTTATTGATTGCATGTAATATTCTAATTTTCTGAGATTGTGGATTTGGAGTTTTCATGAGCTGTGAGCCATAATCATCACAATTATGACAAATCACAGCTTGAACTATCTTGCTTTGCATGTAATGAGTCTATCTCATATATTAGTTTCACCTTTTAAGTTGCATTACTGAAATAAATGAACTTTTGCACAATATTCTAATTTTTCGAGTTTCACCTGTATAAAGCTTTGTTGTTTCAGATAAAATGTGTGAGCAGTGCCAGGCAAAGCCCATGAAATGAAAAGGAACAGATATTCCCCCACCTTCATTACATTTCAGTAACTCATTCTGTGAGTTATTACTGGATAACTAAGTGCCAATTTTTAAATGCCCAATTTAAGAAGAGAATATGCTGTCAGATATTTAGTTTTGTAATGGGCATCACACTGGTTCCCAATAAAACAAAAGAGGGGTAAGGGGTTATCCTTTTAATATTGCACAAAACAAAATCATCTACTTTCTCTCTTATTATAAATACATGAGTTTATAAACTTAGATAATACATTTTAAGAAAAAAGTTTTTTAATTTTTTTTTAAATGCATGTTTCTGGAGTTTTGCAGAGGTGAAATATCTCAAAGAAAAAGATGAACTTTCTATGACACAAAGCATTTAGGGACTGAAGTGAGAGATACTTTTCTTTTTAAAAGAAAATATCACCCCAGGTGACTTTGTTAAATGCTTGATTCTGTTTGGTTTTATTCTTGGGAGTTTATAAGTAAAGTGCTTTTTACATATATACATTTTGGGAATACATGTACACACCACACAGACGCACAGCACACTAAGGAAAATGTGCATGAATCTCTTCGATTTTGCCAGGCTTTTCATATATGATTACTGATAATATGCATTTCTGTTTTGAATACTAGTTACTAGTTCAGTAAATGATGAGTAATCACATCTGTTGAAACATTTATAGCTCAATTGATCCTGTTTGACTCTTTCCTTCAATGTGACAAGTTAATGAATGTGCTCTCTGAAATCATTTTAGTTTGCTGCTCCTGTTAATAAGCCAGGATTGGTAAATAATTTTGATGTATGGTCCTAGTAGAAAAGGGAGCATCATAGTAAGACTCTGCTGATGTACAGTTATATGTGAATTTGACCTCTGTTATTTGGTTTTTTAATAATATTGGTTTTTTTCTTTCTGCAATTAAATGTACCTAAATACAATCATGTTAGAATCATAGGAAAATTTTATTTAAATGTATAAGCCAGGCTGGATATTTTAAGATATAAAGTTATCTCTTTTTTTTAAGGGGTTGGAGGTTATCTTTAAGTTGGTCTTTATTTCAGGTGAGAGCCTAGAAAATTCATGCAGTTTTTTTGACAACATTTTCAGAAGTGGTTTGTTAATACCTTCTTTCTAGAGTTGAGAGAAAATGGGCTAAAGTCACCTACTGAGTTGGGCCAAGGTAGGACTAGAATTCATAGTTGTCTTGTTTCTATCTGGATGTTTTTATTCACTTCATTTTTGATATTTACAAAATATTTCAGTTTAAAAAAGTCTAGATAGGTGTTTATTATATTAAGTACAATTACAATAGGATTAAGCATAATCCCAAATTGATATTTCAGAAAGTTCATGGTAAAAAAAGTTACATTTAATAATTGTATTTATAGAACTACGAGATCTGGATTATGGAAATAACTGTTAAATAACAGCAAAGAGATGCAACCCCCAACTTTTTCCTGCCAACAAGTGATCATCCAGATTTTTTACAACTGTCATTTGCAAATCCTATACTTTTAAAAAGTAACAGCATTCCAATTTGCAGAACAGGGAGAGAATTGTGTAAATTGTAGTTACTCAATTCTCTATTTGTCCTGCAAATTGGAATGCTGTTACTTTTTAGAATTCAGTATTCTGATTACTTCTTTTTCTATGTTTACCCCCTGAAATCTAAAATTTATGCTGGTCATCTTTTCTTCCTGTTTATTTTTATTGCTGATGACAAAGTGCTTATAAATGCTAAATAATCTGGAAGATTATGGCTCTTTTAAAATGAAAAATAGATTAAACATAAAAATTCCAAAAAAATTAACACTGAATAGATATATATGAATAATAAATAAGCATATGTGGAAATGTACTTTTTCTAAGGAAGAAAGTAAAATTTCAGGTAAGTAGTGACAATAATTTTTGATTTTCCATACTAATTAGGAAGAAAGACCATCCATTAAAACCAGAGCTGAGTTTAATTCAAATGTACATAATAACCATATATTTTAAATACTTATTTAAATTTTACTGAGCTGCTCTGCAATAGAGCTCTAGAATCATTACCAAGAGCCTGTTGTGGAAGATTAAGTGAGCCAGGCTTGGGTAACAAGACATACTTGCATTTTTTTATTAGCATTTCTGTTTTGTTTGGTTCATCTGCCAGAGTTGTATGTGGAGCCCTTAAGTCTATATTAGAAACATGATCAGAACAAGTGACAACTATACTGGAGGTTGCAAGGGGCCATATGAAATGAAGGGACTTTAGCTAGTATATGATGGGTCTTAATCCCAGAAACAGTTTATAATTGCAGTATTGGTGATCATATCTAATGGCCAAGATACCTTAGAAGTTTTATTTTAATGCTGTGTTCATATAGCATATAAAACAGAAACATTCACTTGATAGAAATTCAGGTTTCATCATCTTCGCACTGTGTGCTGCACTTCAACAAACTCTATGGAGTAAAAATGGCTTAATATCTTGACTATAAAATGGTCCAGTGCAAACTCTTATTTCAAGCCAAATAAAAATTTGGCTTTATTGCTTCTCCAATTATAGTCGTCTTGTTCAAAATTGCAAGGCAAAATTCTTTTGAGATGTTTGTGTAAAACATTTTGCTTTTATTCTGAACATAACATGCCAAGTCAGCCAGTTTGTGTAGTGGTTAAGGCATGAAGCTAGAAACTAAGAGACTGTGAGTTCTTTAAGTTAGATTTAACTTCTTGGCAGGGATTTTTCTT